TTGGTTCACTTGAGTGGTTTCAAGAATGCCCCCTTTGTTCAGGTCTTCAGAGAAGCATCTGCACAAAATGACAAGAAACATGACTAAAGGAGGGCTGGGCTGAGCACAGAACCGCTTCTGGAAACAGCTAAGGGACGTATGGAGTCAAGGAACACACCGTTCAAGAAACAAGTATTTTTAAAGTGCTTACTAAGCGCTAGGCATTGTACTAGGCACTGGGGGGGGGGGGCAAAGATAAAAAGAAGGTAGCTCCTGCCTTCACGAGGCTTACCGAGATGGGTTCATAAACAACATGGGCACAAGTAGCAAACACAAAATTACTTCAAGGCGAGGAACTACGGGCCTGCTCCCCAAAGAGAGCAAAGAAAGAGGAAAAGGGACATTTACAGCAGCTCTTTTTGGGCTGCCGAAGGGCTTCCCATTAATTGGGGGGGAATGATTGAACAAGGTATGATACATGAATATAATGGAATACCATAGTGCCATAAGAAATGGTGAAAGGATTGGTTTGGAGAAACTCAGGAAGATTTATATGAACTGATGCAGAATAAAGCAAGAAAAACCAGGAGAACAATTTATGTTATTACATCAACATTGTACAGACAAACAACTTTGAAAGACTTAAGAACTCTGATCAATGGAATGATTCCAGAGCACCAATGAGGAAGCACCAACCCCCAATCCCCCCCAACTGAGAGGTAATCGACTCAAGATGCAAAATGAGACACACATTTTTGGATGTGGCCAATGTGGGATTTTTTTGCTTGAATATGCATATTTGTTACAAGAGTTTTGCTTTTTTCTTTCTTTCCAATGAAGAGGGGGAATGAGAGGTGAAGGGAAAAAATTTTTTTGTTAATTGAAAAAAAGTAAAATGAAATTAATTTCAGGGGCGAAAAAGTGCTAACAAATAGGAAAATCAATAAAGGCCTCATGTAGGAAGGAAGGGAGGGAGAGAGGGAAGAAGGAAGGGAGGAAAGAAGGGAGGAAGGAAGGGAAGAAGAAAGACAGGAAGGAAGGAAAGAAGAAAGAGAGGAAGGAGGGAGGGAGGAAAGGGAGGGAGAGAGGAAGAGTGGGAGGGAAGGAGGAAGGGAAGAAAGAAGGGAGGAAGGAAGGGGAAGAAGAAAGAGAAGAAGGAAGGAGGGAGGAAAGGGAGGGAGGGAGGAAGAGAGGAAGGGAGGAGGGAGAGAAAGAAGGAAGCATCTATTACTACGTGCCAGGCACTATGTCAAGCATTGGGTATTAAAAAAAAAAAAAAGCTAAAAGATTACAAGCCAGTCCCTGCCTTTCTAATAGGGAAAGACGATACCCAAAAAGGAACTGAAAGATTGGGGGAAAGGAATGAAGGTGCCCAGCATGGTATGACTGTCTTTATGACTGTCTTTAAAAGAAAGAAACAGGTGCAGTTAGGTGGCGCAGTGGATAGAGCGCCAGCTCTGGAGATTGGAGAACCTGAGTTCAAATCCAACCTCAGCCGCTTGACATTTACTAGCTGTGTGACCCTGGGCAAGTCACTTAACCCCATTGCCTAGCCAAAAAAAAAAAAACAAAAGAAAGAAACAAAACACACAGAGACATTACTTAATAGTCATACCATATTCCTTAATCTAAAGTATTTAACTATTTTCTGGGTACTGTACAGTACTCAGTTTCTCTGCAAGCTCCAAGGTTCCTGAAGGAACATCTGCGCACCACTATACCTTCTGGCTTTATTCATTTCAAGAGGTATTTTTTTTTCTTCTAAGACACTTTTCCTTCCAGCCTGGCACTCTGGAGAAAGACTTCTTGCAGAAAGGCCATACAGTCAGTTAATCAGTTAGTTAAGAAGCATTTATTAAGCCCTTCCTACGTACCAGGCACTGGGTTAAATGCTGAGGATTCAGTGTATGGCAAAACCATGGCCCCTACCTTCAGGGAGTGTCTGTTTGAATGGAGGAGACAACCAGAAAACAACTGTCCACACGAGATCCACAGTACAAATGGGAAGGAGTCTCAGAGGGAAGGAGCTAGCAGTCTGAGGATGGGGGTGGGAGGAGGAGACCAGAACAAATGCTTTGGCAAAGTGAAGCTCTCCTGGCCTCACTTCAGCTCCTTTCCCAGATTAGGGAAACAACAGCATCTCCATGCAGGGATACCTCAGCTGCTTCCCAAGGGGATGAGGTCGAATGCTATAAAAAGGATTGTGATTACAAGAGTGAAAACCTTTGCATTTGCTGGGAGCTGCAGACAGTTATCTCTGGGGCAGAAATACAACAGGCCCCTACAGCACACGCGCCTGTCTGCTGTCTGCTCTGGCCCCAGTCTGCATCCTGCCTTATCTGCGGCTGGGAGGGCATTGTGCGAGACAGCAGGTATCCTGTGCATTACCAGCATATCTCCTGCTGAGAGCCCCGTGCTCCCATCAGCCTTCCACTGGGTCCTGAAATCACTGGCCAGGGCCCAGAGGCACACCCAGGAGCTGGGAAGATGAGGACACCGGCCAGCAAAGCACAGCTTCCATTAACCTGGCAACAGCTGCGGGGCACCCAGTCACTTTGAGGTTTATAAATGCGTTTTTTTTTTCTTCATCAGTGTAGTACCATTAGGGAGAACACAGAGTTGGGAGTCAGATGACCCCACTTCTGATACTACACCTGTGACTTTAAGCAAGCCCCTTCTCTCTGAATAAATGAGTGGGAAAAAAATAAACGGGTTGATATATGAGTGAGTGAATGAACGATTGAATAAATGGAAGAATGAAAAACATGCTTATTACATTCACTAAGCGCTGGGGATATAAATATGAAATCAACAGCAAACCCTTCTGTCGGGGGAGACAATGAATATCACACAGCGGCAGCCAGGGAGGGTATTCTAGTTTGGAAATTTACAGGATAGTGACTAGAGGAACAGACTGAACCACTCTTCAAGCAAGGGTTCTTAATCTGGGAGCCAGGATTTTTTTTTAATATTTTGGTAACTATGTTTCAATATGTGATTGGTTTCTTCATTTGTCTTCGTAGGCATCTAAGTGCTACAGTGGATTCAACATTAGATTTGGAATCAGTAGGACCTGAGTTCTAAACCTGACATAGATGTTTACTAGTTGGGTGACTCTGGGCAAGTCACTTAGCCTTTCTGTGCCTCAGTTCACTCATCTGTAAAATAGGGTTAATAATAGCACCTGCTCCCACAAGGTTGTTTCAAGTATAAAAATTAGCTAATGTCTGTAAAGTGCTTTGCAAACCTTAAAGTGCTAGGTAAACAATAGTCACATTATTATCATTTTTATTGCTATTATCATTATTAGTTATGAGTATGTAAAAACATTATTCTGAGAGGGGCTCACTTTGTAACCTTGGCTGCTCAAGGGGTCCATGACACATAAAAAGGTTAAGGACCTTTCTCAGTGGGTGGGGGAGGGAGAGAATTTGGAACTCAAAATTTAAAAAGAAAAGAACGCTAAAAATAAATAATTTTTGTTAAAGGTTGAAAACCTCTGTTTTAAAGGACTAGTGACAGAGTTGATAGTTCCAGAACCAGAAAGGGGAAGGGCAGCAAATATGATGTGGAAAGCCAGGGCAGCCGGTGAGACGGCAATGGAGTGAAGGAGATCATAGCCGTAGACAGCTCTGTACGTACTGGAACACTGAAGCAAGCACCAGTCAGCAATCACTCCCCAGGGTGGGCTTTCCAGGAATCAAGCCACGGTACTCGGCTTCCTCATTTCTAAATGAGGAGGTTAGACAGGCTGACCTCTCAGGTACAGCTCTAACTCTATGGTCCTATGGAACAGCAATCATGAGACTCATTTTGCAGATAAGAACACTGAAGCAAACAGGGTTGAGTGACCTGCCCAGAGTCACAGGGCTAGTAGGTATCTGAAGCTGGATTTGAACTCAGGTCTTTCTGACTCCAGGCCTACCGCTCTATCCACCTAGCTGCCATCTTCTACTCAAGGGTTCTTCTGATTCCTTCCAGTCACTAGCGCCCTCAAGGCCCTCTATATTTAATCTGGTTTGGGGTATTTACTTATCCATGTACAAGCCATTTCTCCCTGGTAAAATGTGTCTGGTGCATTTCTGATTTATTTGGTTGTTGTTGGTTTTTTTTTTGTCAGGCCTGAGATGTCCAGGGCATAGGAAACTCCAACCAATTCAGAACAGCTTTACAGAATATATAGAATCACCCACAATGAAGGGTTCCCTATGCACTGCCAGGACAAGACCACAGATCAAACATAGGAGGGGGGGGGTTCAGTTCCCAAGGTCGTGAGGAAGAGGGCAGCTTACTCAGTCATCCAAGTCCTATGGGGTGAACCCAACTCCCCCATCCTCTGGTGGATGCTGTGGTGGGATAATATCCTCCCATTCTCATCAGAAAAACCAGTGGCCTTCATAGAGCATTTTAAAACTCAGCACTCAGTCCTTCCCAAGCATTATCTTATTTGAGGGAAGTTCTGCAAGGATGATCACTATTCCCATTTTGAAAATGAGGAAAAAGAAGTTCAGAGATGTTAAGAGCCCAGGGTCACTATAAGGGCCAACAGTAGGATTTGAATCCAGGGCCCTCTGACTCAAAGTACAACAAACGATTTACTATACTACACATGCTGCTTTTCCAAAACAAAATAGAACATTATTCTCTCCAAGGAAAGTGCTCCCTGGAAAGTGAAGGCTCTTGAGAGGAGTCAGTCTTTACGAGAATCCTAAGACAGACTGATCACAGGGTCCATTAAGAAAGAAGGGAGAACCTCCTCCAATCCTGTCCCCATCCCCACAATGAGCCAGTGAATTAAATCTTTGGCTTCGTTTGGCAGGCAACAGCGAGGCACCCCATATCACGGACACAGTGAAGTCACAGCAGAGACTGCCATCTCTCCGTTATGGCCTCCAGGCAAGAAATGAGACACAGCCAAATACATGCTAAGGTTTCCAGAAAACTTGTCTCCAACCAACCTTGTTCAGCTCCAGGGACACTCCCCGCCAGACACCTCCTTGGCTTCTAAACTGGATTCTCAACTCCTCGGGACAGCCCTGATCCCTTCCTTATCTCTGGCTCCAAGATAATCTCTGCTGGGAGAGAAGACCTGGGAGGGGGACAAAAGAACATAAAGATTAGAGGAGAACTAAGCATTCCCGCAGGAGCTTAAGTGGGGAAGCAGTGAACCCAGGAGACTTCAAAGAGCGTTGGATTTGGCCCTGGAGACTTAGGCAGGATACAGGCTATCTCTGTGACCCTCAACTGGTCTGGGCCTCAGTTGCCTCACTAGAGAATCTCCCTTTCCCCCTACCCCCACCACACCATAAATTCCATTAGGGCAGGGATGATGATGATGATGATGATGATAATAATAATAATAATAATAATAACCAATGCTGAACAGCATTCTAGAAATGTGTAGTCTTAAAGAGTTGCCAGAACACTGAGGGGTTAAACAATTTGCCCATAGTCACACAACTAGTATGTGTCAAAGGTAGAACCTGAACCCAGGTACTCCAAACACCATCAACATTTAATAAATATTTCTTGGACAAGTGTCAAATGAATGAATGATTCCTGAAGATCTTTCAGTTCTAACCTGTAGGTTCCCATGACACTTTTCCCTTGCCCTGTCCATAAACCTAATGGCTATAGTGAAAGAGGGTCTCTATTGCCCGTTCCCAGTTCTAGAGAAGAGAGTCTCTATCGCCCATTCCCAGGTCTGGAGAAAAGTTATTCAATGTAAGACTGAAGACCAGAATCAGAGGCTACCACTGAGTCGTCACAGGAATGCAAAGCTTGGCAATACAAGCTGTGTATGTGTCTCCCTCACTCCCCATCCTCTCCCGCTCCTTCACCTCCCCATCAGGTAGACAGAACCTAAGCAAAGTAAACACAAGTCTGGCAGGACCAGTCTGGCCTCCAAGAAGGGCTGAAATCCAGACTGCCAGGAAGCTGAAACACTCTTCTGATCCCATGCTTTGTGAATGGATTTCTGCTGAAACACAATTCCCGAAGAGAGAATATACACGGAAACCACTGGAAACAGCCAAAGAGCCGTAGATGGGGGGATCTCCCCCTTCTCCGGAACTCTGACAGCAATTACAGCCTGTCTCATGTGATTGGGGCCAGATGTACGGAGTGTTCTATTGTTTCGTGGGTTATTCCTGTCTTTCCCACCAGAGTGGAAGCTCTGTGAAGGCAAGGACCCACTGGGTCATCTGTTTCTTTTGCATCTCCCCCATAATGCTTAGCGTTGGGCACGCAACCGGCACTCAAGTATGTTAGGTAACTTATCTAGCTTTGGATTTTTTCTTGCTAGTTGGAGGATAGCATGAAAGTTAATCAGTGGCACACCGGTAAATGTTTATAACCAGCTCTCCAGGGGCACAAAAGTAAGTAAGACGGACTTTTAAGTTTAATCTGAATTATGAACATTTTCTCCACCACTTTCTTAAGTATGGACAATGAACTGAACAATAAATCAAGCTTTGATTTGTAACCATCGCCAATTTAGAAGCTGTAAATGCTCACGCTGAAAATTTAACAACGAGCTAGCTAGTTAGAGTCAGTTCCAACAAACCCCTGATTTTAATCCTCCAGTGAAAGTAAGTCTAATTCTGGAGGCAGTGGTCCTGGGTTCAAATCCTCATTCTGACCCTAGGCCAGGCATTTCCCTTCCTATGATCTCCACTTTTTTCCTACCTCACACTAGCCAGTCACTGAAATCCTTCACCTTTCTAAGTCTATAGTTCTAGGATCTCTCTCCTCCTCTGATGTCTCATGGGACAGTGGGGATGACCCTGGACTTTTGAAAGATCACAAACTATGGCAGATGTTCCCAAGCTGGTAAGGCCTTGGCTATGGGGCTGGTGATGGACTCCATGTGTGTCGTCTAAGGGCCAACCCAGTTTGGTTAGTGAGGTTCACCACTAGATTCGCTCTGTTCGGTCATAGAAACCCTCAAGGCGTGTCGGAAGATCACTGATTTAGAAACAGATGAGACCTTAGAGGTCATCTAGGCCTTCATTTTACAGACAAGGAGACTGAGTCCTGGAGAGAAGAAGTGGCTTCCAGGAAGTCACAGTCAGGATTTGAACTCAGGCCCTCAGACTCCAAACTTCCACTGAAGCATGTTTCCCAGTCACTTAGTTATTTATAGAGAGTAGGCTGTCTTTAAATGAGTAATTTGTAAAGCGCTTTGGAGACCTTAAAACACTATCTAAGTGTCAGTTATCATTACCATGATTCTCAATCTCTCCAGGCTGCACTCAGCATTTTTCCTACCATGTCCAGATTGATTTTTTTTTTAAACTAGGTAAAGAGGCCATTCTCTGCCTCACTTCCTACCTAGCCTTAATCACTGAATGGGTGTTGCCTCAGACAAACTGAGACCTGTTAAAGACCTTAGATTGAAAAGGCCAAGGTCCCCCACTGTCCTGGACCTTCTCCAGTCGTTCTGATCTCTATCTGGCCACTGGACCCAGATGGTGCTGGAGGAGAAAGTGAGGCTGCTGACTTGGCACAGCCCTGCCTCGCTTAAATTCCATCCACTTGCAGGTCACGGCATCACCTCCATGAGGTCCTGATCCTCCTCGAGAACAAAGGACAAAGGAAAACAAGAACCATGCAGAAGCCTCTTCACCCTGGAAGCTCCCTCCAGCCATCGGAAGGAAGCTCCACCCCTATGGCCTCTCCCTCAGACCAGATGCCTCTTCCCAGGACTTCCATTTAAGCAGGACCCCAGGCCATTGTTGTCATTATTTGGTCGTTTCAGTCGTGTCTCTTAGTGACCCCTTTCGGGGTTTTCTTGGCAAAGACACTGGAGTGGTTTGACATGTCCTTCTCCAGCTCCTTTTACAGATGAGGAAACTGAGGCAAGCAGGGCTAAGTGACTTGCCCAGGGTCACACAGCTTGTAAGTGTCTGAGGCCAGATTTGAACTCAGGAAGATGAGTCTTCCTGACTCCAGATCCAGTGCTCTGTTCACTAAGCCAGGCCAGCCATGTCTCATTCCTCTCCAGATTGCAGGACTTTCTCTACAGCAACCCAGGTATTGTCACCCAGCTCCCCTTTTCAACTCCCTTCTCTGCAGTATCTTCCTGTACTAGAACATAAGCTCCTGAGGGCAGGTGGTGCCTTTGTTCTGTGCTTGTATTTGTATCCCCAGCACTTAGCACAGTGCCTGGCACGTAGTAAGAACTTGATGAAAGTTCTTGACTGACTGGCAATTTTCAATAGATCCTAGAAGTACTGAAATACTGACGAAAATCTGATAATGGAAAGTAAACTCGTGAGCAAGGGCTTCTGCTTGGCAGGGCACCAAAAAAGGAGTGGATAGCTGTAGAGATCTAAGAGAATCAATAAAATATTCAAAATACATAGAATAAAACAGGAAAAAAAAGTTCAGAAGAGGCCCCAAAAAGGGTAATTTTGTAACTACTATTTAAAATTTAACGTACATTTAAGAAAAGATATTGTACATGACAGAAAATCACAGCCCTCTTATTAATTCCTTTGTAGAATGAAATGCCCATGTTTTGATATTAGTTAAATTCAAAAAAAGAAAAATGTAGATTATCAAAAAATGAGGGAGGCTCAGGAACAGAACAGTTTATCAGCAAGGGAATCTGTCAGACATAGAAAGGCTAAGTTGGGGGTTCCTTTTTAACTCTTTTCCCCATTAATTTCCTATTTACTTCAAAAGATCACCAATCTCACATGGGTACAAGCATCCCTACCTCCTCATACTGGGCAATGCTTAAGTATCTTCAACAACTCTCTATTGCCTCTAGGATAAAATACAAACTCCTCCATCTGGCAAGTGTTCAGCTCTACAATTTCTATCATTACAACGTCTCTTGCCTTTAATGATCTCCCTTCTCACACAACCATCATCTTAGCTCATCCCCTCATCCTCTTGAATCTCAATTATTACAACAAGCTCCCTGCCTCATGGCCCTCTACCCATCCATGGACCAGTTCAGTTCATCCTTCTCAAAGTGGCCAAAAGGATTCTCTTTAAGCACAAACTAGACCACATCACTCCAACACTCAATAAACATCAGTGGCTCCCTCCTGTCTCAAGGACAAAATATAATTTCTGAAGATTAGGTTTAAAAGCCCTTCAAAACCTGGCCCCCATCAATTTTTCCAACACATATATTATCTTCCCTTCTACGCTCAGATTTAGCCAAACTAGCATTTTCCCTTCTCTCTATTCTTCATGACATTCCATCTCTCAAGCCTGGAATGCCCTCTCTCCTGGCTTCTGCCTTAAAGAATCCCTTTTTTCCTACAAGACACAACTCAAGCACTACATACTGCATGATACACTCTTTCCCTATCTTGTATGTAATTAACTACTCTATCTAATGTGCATTCTTTTTACATTTATTTCGCATATACTTTAATATGCACTTTTTCCTCTTCTGTGTAGAATATACACATAATAAAAATAATGATGATAACTAACATTTCTATAGCATCTATTGTGTGCCAGGCACTGCGCTAAGTGCTTTACACATATTATCTCATTTGATCCTCACAACAACCCTTTGAGGTGGGCACTATTATTATCCTCATTTTATAAATGAGGAAACTGAGATAGACAGAGGTTAAGTGGCTTACCCAGAGTCACACAGCTAGTAAGTTTCTGAGGCAGGACTTGAACTCAGGTCTCCCTGACTATCCACTGTGCTACCTCTTTTCATTCTTGAACATGAATACCCAGTTCCTAGTGTTATACCTGTGTATTGATTGAATGATTGTTTTTCTTTAAAGCCAGCATCCTATAAAAAGAACACACTGGTATAGATATGTATGTTTGGGGGAATGCACCAGAAAAGTGCAAGACTTTTAAAATTTGGACCTGGTTTTCAGAACTGGGTATCTGTCTCTACTAGGTTATGTGTTCAGTCATTTCAGTCATTGTCTGACTCTTTGTGACCCCATCTGGGGTTTTCTTGGCAAAGACACTGGAAAGGTTTGCCATTTCCTTCTCCAGCTCATTTTACAGATGAGGAAATTGAGGCAAACAGGGTTAAGCAACTTGCCTAGGGTCACACAGCTAGCAAGTGTCTGAAGTTAGATTTGAACTCAGGTCTTC